AGGGAGATGAGAGAGAGAGAGAGAGAGAGAGAGATAGAGATAGAGAGAGAGGGAGATAGAGATAGAGAGAGAGAGAGAGAGAGAGAAGGAGATAGAGAGAGAGAGAAAGAGAGAGAGAAAGAAAGAAAGAAAGAAAGACGGACAGACAGAGTAACCCACGTTCTGCACGTGTCAACATTCGACAGCCGAAGATAATAAAGGGACAAACAGACAAACCGATAGACATCCACGACCTCTGGGCAGACAGAGGGACACTCAACCTACTCTTGCCCCAATCAGACTAATCTTACAATGCGTGACAATTGCGTGCTCGGCTATTGGTTTTTTATTTTTAATTTCGGACATCCAATCAAACATGGGCAAAGGCTCTCGATCCGATCAAAAGAAAGATTCCTGATTAGTGCGCGCGATACGACTTAATTTAAGATCCGTGCAGCGCGTGTGATATGTTCAGTTTAATTTTGAAAAATATATACTTCGCAGATATGTACGCTTGTTGTTGTAGTTGTTTGTTTTTGTTTTTTCTTAACTTCAAAACTCACCAAACGACAAACGTGCTAAATTGCTAAATATAGACACCAAGCAATAAAATTAGTTCTATTCAAAGGCCTGATTGGGCATGTAAAGCTGTAACACAGCGTGTTGACCTCTAAGTGTACTCCTATCTTAGACTTTGGAGATTAAGCAAGATCAAATTACATGTTATCAGTTATAGCGTTGCTAACTTTACTGAGAATGTGTTTAAAAAAAGAAGAAGAAAATCACCTCTTTTGGACGAAGAACATTTTGGTATGCTAGTTATTTTAGAAACACTTGAGATCGCTAAACACTCACATTTTTTTAACCCCCCCCCCTTTCTTTATCTCGCCAACACACACACGAAAGCACTAACAGAAAGCGTATACGCTCATAAACACACAACGCGTGTATGTTCAATCATACACGCACCATGCACAATACATACATCATCATCATCATCCTCATCATCATCATCATCTCTCTCTCTCTCTCTCTATCTATCTCTCCACACTGACACACAAAAATACAACACACAGACACGCCGCATACACACATTCCCTCTCTTTCTCTTTCACATACATACGCACGCGAAAACAGTACTCTCTCTCTCTCTCTGAATGTCCCC